CAATCTTTTTTATCCATATTGAAAATGGCTTACCGCAGAAGAAATAAATGTTCAATTACACGCTAGTTGCAACTAACGACACACTCACACCGAACAACAAAGTGTTTCATTTTTTTATTAAAATGTAATATTGAGCACCTGGGAATTATCCTGTGCGAATTTCACAGATTCTTAGATAGTGCATACTAATTGGTGCCTAAACGGGTTATATGCATGTTAGTAAGGTTTAGGGAGACACTAATGGAAACAACTTCCATTTTTCCCGTGTTGGCCAATCACCTTTTTCTAATACCAAAAGCACAACTCTCGTGACGAGAAGGACGCACAGTAATCGACAAGGCATGCAGAAAGAGAACGCAAGAGGCGACGCCATATTGAAGCTTCCGCGCCGATTCGCTGCGGTGTCACAGATTTTGGCAGCGTCCGCTAAGGCCTATCTGTTTATTAATCGGTAAAAAAAATGAAGCACAATGTCGATGAGATTTAACGTACTGAGTTTAAATAACTTTTATTTAGCCGGTGGGACCTAAAATATAAAAAAGCAACACTTCGCAATTCACCGCGTCACGCTGTCTTTCGTGAACGGAAATTTCGGCTCGAAAAAAAAAAATACATTGACGTTGATTTTATCTTCTGCTAACATGACGATGGTGAAATTAACGACAAGTGAATAGTCTACGAGCAGTTTATTGATTCGAAATAATTCGTGGTTTTGCTTTAACTTCGAACGTACTTGTTAGCTAGTTGGTAAACCATTACGGCATATGGCAGCGCACACCAACCTAAACAATGAACACGTACATAAAGAGATTCTACAAGTGCTGTGTCATCCTTTATGTGCGTGTTCGTTGTTTAACCTGGTGTGCACTGCCTAATGCCGTAATGATTCACTTTAGCGCCCCTTTTAATGTACATGAATATCTCTTCTATGGTCGCTTTATGCCGGGGAAAAAAACCTTAAGCAAAGATAGGACGGTCGCGGCAAACTTCTGAATCCCTCGGCTGCTGCGCCATCGTGTTGGTCACTCACCCTGATCGTCGACCTGTTCTGCAATGTCTGCATCGTCGTCATCGGCTTCCGCCACCAGCGGGGCATCCTGAGGGCCCATCGTCTGCGTGTTGCGGCGCTTCTGGCCTGCAGCGAGTGCAAGCGAAGTTGGCGCTTACAGTGGGAACTTACGATGATCACTCTATAAATGAATGGTCAAATTTCGATCACTTTCCCATCACTTGAAAAGAGGAAGCCATTGCATGCATGTATGAAAACAGCTGGCGCTGCAGTAAGACGCGATTTCATGGTTCAATCGCACTTCTTCCTATCCTTGCCAAGAAGGTAAACCGTGCAGCCCGGCATTAGGAGCTTTCACTCATTACGCTTTCTGGGGCGTATATGCAAATTAATTTACCATACTCGCTTAGGTTTAAACTTTAGCTTAGTTTTTTTTTTAATAACGAAGAGTGGAGGCTGATAGAGATATAATTGCAGTCTCATAAATTGTATGCCTGGCTCTCTGTGTATGCATTGTTGACATGTAATGATGGATTATACCAATAAAATGTAAAATCGGACATCTTACATCTTGAAAAGAAAGCCAGATGATTGGCGCGTGACTTTAGCTTTCATGCACGCATCTCTAAGCCGATTCCACCACGAAAGAAAAACGCTTTTTTAGCTTTTTTTGAACAGGTGATCCGCCAATAATTTGTACACTCAATGTCTGTACAATTCAATGAGGTTTTCAAAGAGCGCTTAGAGTCACGAACTTTAAAAGATACCGGTCCTCTGGTCGTGTAGGCCATCACCAGAATACATTCCGACTCGTCTTTCTGATTTCTGCAAGAATGCCGCACTGCCATTCGTATAAAAAAAATTGTTTTTTTTTTTGCGTTTTACGCAACCAATACGTTGGTCTTTTTAGCGAAGCTATCACTCCACGTACTGACCTTTTTTTGCCTTGTTTTTCTTCTTGTTGTTGAGCACTGGTGTAGGAGACCTTTTCTTTTTGGAGCCTGCAAGTACAAATCACACAAAACTCATTCCCCGTTATTCGCCGTGGCTGAACTACAAAAATATATATATTGACTTTGTAATACTTCAAAACCTTCTACATGTATCATGCGCTGCCTCAAGGGGTCACATACACTAACTGAAAAAAAAAAGTGATCGGAGAGCAATATTGGCCACAGCTGGCAAAATATTTAGCCTCGTGACTGCACACAAAACATATTTAAAACATTATGAACAAAGAAAAACCACTGCGGTAAAAAAGGAATGCAAAAAAAAAGATTTTTTTATAATTACAGCGTGAGACCACACCACCGAGAAGCATGCACACAAGACACTGACACATGATAATTTACTCCCGTGTTTTTTATTCTTCGTCATCGTCTCGTGTACATTGCATCAACCAAGATGAACGCATGCCAACTCGTTAAGCTTCCAAATTTAAAGTGATGTTTCATTGACGCCACCGGGTTTTTTAGGGGCAAAGCTCCTTATGGCGTGGCTTGTGCGTCCCTCGTAGTACGTAACCACCAGTGGCACATACCCGAAATAGCGATCTTTACGATTTTGACCTCCAAGGTGGTTCCGGTGAGAGATTTATTCTGTGCGTTGTTGAACAATAAAAGATAGTGCTCAATGCCCATGCTAATGGCTGCTAAGGGGGAATGAGAGAAAGAGCATTCGGCCTTTAGGTAACGCACACGCTGCGATCCCCATTAGCAGCTATTGGCATGCACATTGAGCACAATCTGACAAGAAAGGGTTGCTACGTTATACTTCTGGGTGTAACCTCCTTGGTTTTAGAAAGGTTTAGCGAGCGTTGGGCCGCATAGCCATGAATACAGTGAACTAGTATATACCATGAACTCGAGGTGGTTAAAGGTGGGAAGTAAACCCGAAGCGCAAGCCGTAAGAAAGTGTGCATGTGCCACCTCCCGTTTAGTCCTTGAAATGTCCGCTGGATGGCGGTGCTTCTATATGGAGAATATATGATGAAAAGATGCGAGATGGTGGTACTTGGAGTGCTGAATAGATGGACGAACGGACACACAGACAGATGCATAGATGGACGCATGAACGGACGCAGGCGCGGATGCATGGACGAACGCAGGGATGGACGCACAAACAGACGCACGCACGTACGGGTCGATGGACGCATGGACGGTTAGACAGACGTACGCAGGAACGGACGGAAGCAAGAACGAATGGACGGACGAATGCTTCGCCCCACTCCCCATCATTCACTCCGTGGATATGCTGCCATTTTTTTTATACGACTGGTGGTATATTTTCTGCCGGCACTAATGTTCGATATACGTATATTTCTTTTTTCTGGTCACGAGTGGTATAAAAAGACTCGCTGGTTTTAAAATATGACTTGCCAGAAACAGCGTTTCGTGTGTCTTGTGTGCCTGCATTGCTGTGGTGTCGTCGTATCGCACTGTAATTACGCAAGCTGAAAACCAACTCGCTAAACATATTGCTGTGCAGAAAAAAAAACGAGTTTTGTTGGTACTTCAAACACTCCCCCCCCTCCTTGCCTTATTTAATCACTGCTAATCCACCACTGCTTACAATCGTGTATACGGCCGGTTTTCAATGCCACGGCAAAGTTTTACTTACGTGTAGAAGGCGGCGCCTTTGCCTTCTTAGTGGTGGTTTCAGCGCCTGAAGGAGAGAAACGCAGAAAAATAATACGGCTCTCGAAAAGTAAAAAAAAAACTAACTGCTACACTCTTGCGTCATGACGGAACGAATGCAATTTAACGCACATGCTGTCGCTGAAGATATTGCCCATTCTGTTCAATGTCGAAATGGTCGTTATACTTTTACGACTTGCACAGCGATGCAAGGTAGTTCTCGCACGTTGTTTCGGATACATTCGGTTTTCATCATTTTCAAGATTAAATAATAGTTCGTGAGCCTTTGCCTATTACTTTATCATCGAAAGTACTGAGAAACTATTTGTTTCTTTGCGTGTATATGTGTGTTTGTTTCTCTGTTTGATATGCTGCCTATTCAAAACGAGGATCTTAGCAGAGAACACATTCGTATGACCATAGGCGTGGGCATGTGCTCTCTACTAGGTTGAAGGGGGGGATGACTATCACCGTAGCGCCAACCCCTCCTCGCCCCCGTTGTTCGAGACCAAAAGGAAGCTAACTTCACAATGGACAGTGAGTGTCAAAAGCAAAGCGATGCGGTATTCTCACAATCATTCTCCTTTGGTTTCTGACTTTCTGGAGGCACAGGCGAAAAAAAACAGCTTTCGGAATGAAGCGTCAAAGGTCCTCCGGCGCCATTATCGTGAAAACAAATTGTTTTTAACAGTGAGTATACAGGTGCGTCAAACTAAAGCTGTGAGGTAAATTAAGCACCCACCCTTCGCCCCTTAGGTGCTAAGGGGGGAAAGAAGGAGTTGAAAGTAGCATCCGTAACATCGCTCACACTGGAAGGATTCGAAAACGTTTCCGAGACAAGGTATTTTTCCGAGACAGTCTAGTCAGCTGGTGCAGCCGCCCTAAATAAGTTGCGTAGGGATGCTCACATAAATAATAAAAAAGAGGTGTAGGTGAGTTATTGACTTCACGGCATTGAAGCTATCAGTAACGTAGGTTAGCACTAGCTTTTCATGGGCCTCATTTCTGTATATAAGCAAAGGCGCATTCTCTTTCTTGTTACGCCGGGAGCACAGTGTGACATGATGCATCAAACGTGTTCCATCTGTTCCGGTCGCATTTATATAAACATTCCCAATTGTTTATTAACAGAGTTTTTCTGTCAAAACCACTAAACTCAGGCTTAAATTCACTGATTCGACATGCTCGAAAATGTACTTATTCTCAGTTATCTGGATGCATTCACAAGCCAGGACTTGCGTTAGCTCTCAGGGAGATTTTATAAAGCCGTCTTCGTGTGGTAAGCTTTATTTCCTACAGTTTTTTTTTATCAAAGAGAGAACAACATATCCACAATGTTCTTACCTTGAAATGCTGCTGAATTATCTTCTTCAGCTGAAATTGTAGAAAGAGGGCATGACATTGGTGTTAAAATTTTGCTCCATGCAAGTAACCACTAACTGTGGTAGTGTGGTTTTCTTAGTGTACATGTCAACATATGTCACTACATTGTCTGCGAAATAAGTTCACTGTTGGCAGTTTGAAAAGGCATTTTTTAAAAATCATGGCAACAGTAAAAATATCTGAAAGCTAGGAACCCATGCTTCCATGAGAAAAGAAAGAAAGAGCTATGCCACTGGTGGCTGCTTGTGTAGCAACGCAATTCTGGTCTCTTAATTTAACTTGAATCAAAAAGTCACATTTTTTTCCTGAAAACGACACTATAAATTGCTATATAGACTATCGCATAATCGCGCTTCTCGAGCCTGTTATGTTATCGCAATGTCACTTTCTTGCGTGATAAAAATTCTTGAACACCTCTTTAATAACATATCTTACTTGTCGACAGTTCTTGTAAGCGAAATTTTTATTTTTACAAATCAGTGGCTTACCATACTGAATGAAACAAAATATCTTGTTATTATACTAAAGCAACACAGTAGCATCAAATCCTTGACAACAATTTTTATTAAAGTGATATACCTTCCTAGAATAAAGCGGACAACGACGAGATGCGGAGCAAGCTCCCGCATTGGTAGTCATTCGTTTTTGATAATATTTTGCTTCATTATTCGGTCATGATTGGTTCAACTGCCGCTCCTGCTGTGCTGCGTTTTTTTCGCCTTGTCGTTGTGGGGCATGCTGCCTCATAACCTCATAGAAGGGCGATGCCATCTGGTACACGATGTTACATTGTCATGACGTGCTGGCACGTTCTTGTGTATGCACGCACGAAAGACACAGGAGCCACCAGCTAATAACGCAGCGACGAAAGCACCGCCGGCGACCACCCAAATTCTTCCTCGTAGTCTTCGTCTCAACTCATACCATATCCTCCGAGATCGCGCGCTGGTGACGCTATCTCGGAAGCCATGCACAACCACACTGGCAGTGAAGCGCCATCGCAGAGAATGATAAGGTGACCGATAAATCTTCGACCTCGGAGGCCAACACGAAGGCAGTCGTTGTTTTCTTTACAGATGATGTATTCGAGGGGTTCGGGAGCAATGTTAATGCTAACAATGCAGCGCAACAGAAACACCGAACTTTCAATCTTGCAGTTTTTCAACAGCGGAGGCTTTTATGGGATCACAACAGCCGCTGATTTCCGTGGCCCATATATAGTTTTTCGCCGTCGCCGGTGTCCGTTGTTACTGCTGTTGTGCGCAATGCCAAAAATATTTGGGTTCGAGCGTGATTTCAACACGGGCCCACTGCGTGACAGTAGAGTGCTCTCCAACAGAACCACACTATTTCTTGCAATTTCTTCACAAAGATACCCTATACAGGCGTCAGTCAGGGCAGATAATCACCTCAATATTTTTTATATAGAATGGTAAAAGACTGAAATAACGGCCAGGCGTCACGCAATGCTAATTGTGCAAGGAGTTGGTGGCTCCCATTATGAAGGCCTTAACCATAATTCATCGGCCACAGCGTCAACGAGGTACACTAAATGTCTTAAAAATATGTTAGGAGTACTACCTCGCTTCTCGACAAAACAATGAATAATGACATATTAGGTACTTCCATTGCGAAATTGAGACCATTTGGGCGTAAGGGGTACTTTGCAGCAGTGCTTGCACTCATTGTTCCTAGAGTTTACAGCGTGCTTTCGAAAGACCACTCCTTCAGCTTTCGCTGTAACTGTGCTGCGTGCTCAGCGCAGAAGCAGTTTTTTTTTCTACGTTAACGATATGATAGGTTGCTAGGCAACGACTTGGTTCAACACTTTCAATATCAGCAACATTTTTCGTGACTCGCGTCATTCAAGGTTTCATGTCACCTCTGCAGCACTAGTGAGAAAGGGTATAACCACAATATCCATCGCAAATGAAAGCTAACACATCCGTCATAACTATTATCAGTACGATGGACTGTTACCTCGTGGCTAAAAAAAAGATATAGAAGCATATGAATCGGTTGCGCTGTTTGAATAAACCGATGCGAATACTTCTTCCACCAACTTGTTACGCTCCTTTTGAAATAACTTTGCTCCGATTTTTTTTTTTCTTTCATACATCTCAAAGGCGCGAGCTCGAAAAATGAGCTTCAATGTCGGGAACGTTCATGAAATGCATCAGTGTATTGGAGGCTTGCCAAGAGAAGTTGGTTCTCTAAGCTCGTGTTGCGGACAACTTGTTGTTATCCCTCTCAAAGCCACGAAACTGACAGCACATTGTTTTCCACGTTCAGGCCATGCACAGACCGCGCTTTCAATAATGAGATGGTTGTTATAAAGTACTAAATTTTAGAAGCCCAGATGTTTGAAGTGAGCGTTTGTTTGTGTAATCTTTCTCTTGTAGTTTGTCTGTTTTATGCTTCTAAATACCAATATAGAAATTGTTGAATGTCGACGCGCTGCACGCGTTGCCTCAGACCATTCCTCCTTTATAGGGTGATAGACCAAATAGCTCAGATTACAGCTAGCCTTGAGCAACAGGTATAGTGTTGTGTTACGTTTCAATTTTCCTTTAAGTGAATGACTGAAATAGTGACATACAGGTGCAAAACATTAATCTGCTAATTTAGACGCTCTTCCGGAAGTTTTTCTAATATGTGGTAAGTTCGTATGATAGTGAATTATAGTGTATAGATGACCATCGCAAGTTCCGGTGATTGCTATGATACCGAACATTGATAAAACAGTTCAACGAAAGTTACTTATTGAATAGGAAAGTTCTACGCATATTTTTCGTTTAGATTAGCGTGACCTCTACGATGTCGTACTTCCCTGTTTATACCGCTTGAAGTGACACATACACAAAGAATCCAGAAGACCATAGCAGCCAATCAAAAGGGATTTACCTCGTCCTTCAGCAGGTGGATTTGTGGGAGGTTCAGATGCTACGAGATGTTTAGTCTTGGAATCAGGACCTGAAATACAGATAAGTTAGACCAGAAGCAGCAAGCCTAAACTGCCTAAAGCAAGCTGACAATAATTCGGGTCTAAAGCAAAGTAGACCGTCTGATTCAAAATGGGAAATGCCTTAGTAATTACGCTTTGCCTTTTTTTGTATTCTCGCAACGTTTTGGCTACCGGTAAGCTACAGAAATACCGGAAGTGTCATTGTCATTCTGATATGCGCCCTTTTCCTGTCGAGCGAAAATTCTTTCGTGTGTATTACAATATAATTATAAATAAACGAAATACGTAGCATTTATAGTCTATGAAAGTCAGTAGTGTGTCGCTATCAACAAATACATTGTTCGATTCGAATTGTTCACTTCAGGTCGTGTCTGATGACATCAGATAGGAAGCATCCACAACATGCATGTTTTCGCTTAAATCGGAAAAGATCTAAAGGATGTCCACTGAGCGCGTAGAACACTTGCCTAACATAATATAGACCAATAAATCTGAATTTTACACCTGTGTCGCATGATGCACCGCTGATGGGGCTTGGGCCTAATTGGGGTCGAATGCTATACAGTCATTGAAAATACCTCCTGCGGCTCACGTAAGGTGCCAATGGCGATATATACATTCGACCCGAATCAGATCCGATCGCGATCGAAGATGATCGTCTAACGCCGGTTTTATATTTCCTGCTAGCATGTGATAGCGCATACAATTGAACATGCAGCTTCCCGTAATATATGCACGGGCGCTCACACGATTGCGCACGAAGGCGAAAACGCACAGCCCTGAATAGCCTTCGGCCTCACCCTTGTAGAAGATGTAGCCGGCCGTTCCTAGCACTGCGATGATCATGGCCACACCAATGAACATGAAGACCCTCTTGCTTGTGGGAACGGGGAAGAATCTCTTCTCCTTGCTAACGCGGAGAGAAAGTAACAGAAGCAAGTCACACAAAGCCAACGCCAACTACTGCCTGAGGTATACGGATACAGCCTTTCTTGAAGTTCGCTAATGCACAAGTATGTATGCTCGGGGGTTATTCTATGAAATCTCAATATCTGAACCATTTCGAAACGTACAAATTCCGCTGCTGCCAGATTTTTTTTTTAAGCCGCTCAGCAGAGAGCCTTGAAAGAGTGGAACATTAATAACTTATCAAGTATATCGGATACCCAACCTGCGACAGAAATTCGAAAGATCAGCTTTCATGGGTAATGACAGATAGTGCATACTCTAGAAACAACGTTTCGGGAGCATATATGCTAGTTGTAACAGCAGCTGGCTAGGCTTTCGCAAGTAAACGTCTTACAAACTCGAAAACATCCACCATACGCTCTCAAGTGAGGCTTCACTTTTTAGATCGGTTATGAAAAACCAGACTACCTATCCACTTCTTATATCTCTGGTCAACATCGCACGATAGTGTTGATGGAAAGCTCTACTTACATTTCCGGCAATCCACCTGCCGTAGAAAAAAATAAAAAAAGAAAAAAGTTTTTAAAGCAAGCTACAACGAATGCTTGCCTATGTATGCGGTAGCCTTGAAAGTTTCTGTAGACTATAGAGCATGATTTCTCTATGGGGCAGTCTACTTCCACCTTAGGTGATTCGGGTACTCAACAAAAGAATGACGTAAGTCATTTTGCTGAAACTTTAACGCTGAGCTTCTTTAACGACAGAAAGGAAACCTTTTTCTAGTACTGGCTGTAGTTATAGTCCTCGCTAAAAGCTCTAATGTTTGAATGAGGCACTTTTCTGATCCTTCAAACATATACCAGAAGTGCATCTAGCCCCCGCCGGCGACGGGGGACATTCGCTCTGTAACGAATGAAATGACTCAGTCAAACTTGGATACAACCACTCTTTCGAATCCTGCCATGGCAATCAATAAAGGCCAGCTTTGAGTCAATGGGAACCCTCGTCACAGCTCGTGACATTATGCAGGTTGAAAAAAAAAACGTTTTTGTCAAACGTAATTGTGAATCAAATGCAGAGGCCAAAGAAATACGCAGTCGTCAAGTGAGATTGGGTGCAAACGATGACTTATCTGGCAGCTGACAGAAGACTGCATGAATTGCCGCGTAGTACAAACGCAACACTACATGCACAGCTTTCTTACGCTATGTCAAATAGTGCAAGACCGACATCCCGAAAAACCTACACCTCGAGCATTCACAGCTATTGCTCACGGATGCCATTGTTCACGGATTTCTTTTTTTTTTCCTCCGTAATAAGTTTTGTGAAAGGAGCGCCGCATTGGTTCGCGGTAGCTCAGGAGTTATTGCGCGCACCTTGAGGGCATCTGTGTTAGTGGAGGCTCTAGCAATGACAATACAAAAACCTCGAACACAAGATGTCACTTTCGGCCAAATTTATTTTTGTAGTCATTCGGTTTTATGAAAAGTAGCCACGAGATCTGTGCAGAAGTACGCTAAATTGTGTGTAGCAAATAGTCACTATATTTCTATCTAGTATACATCACTGCCAGTAATTCGAAAAGAATAAAACTATGAATTCATTTACGTCAACTGTTAGTTAAAGCTGTGCAACATCTTTAAAAGAGTTTGAATTGCAAGCACGTGAGTGTTGTAGGGAAGGCGACGCAGTGAAGAACGGAAGGCAAAGATGGACGTGTGCGAGTTATAAACTGACCACCTACTGGCATTTTTCACGACACCCGTGCACATATACACACATATAGATAAAATTACTTTTCATGCATACGTCCGTACCATTACAAACTTCGGTAAGTTGACTGATAAAACTAAGCCAGAACGATATTGATTAAATGACTTAGATTCAAAAGCCGAATTCCTTCTGATACAAGTCAGCCGAGGGCTAACGAACGCATCTATCATCATATTTCTGAATATATTAGGCTTCTGTAATATCCCAAGTGAATTCATCTTTATGGCGTTCCAACACAATTTCAGCCTCAAAGCGAAGTTGGCAGCCGAAATTTTTACAGTGCATCAATAAGGCTCGAACTTGTTTTTTTGCTTCGGTTGTTCTTATGTTCCCCTAACCTCTTACTCAACGTCCAGTTTCTTTATGTAACTGCACACGCACGTTAAAACTTGCCTGTATACCTAACCCATGGGAGGATTGTACAAAATAATTTACGCGTTGTACGAACATACATGCCCGTCTCCTTAAGTCATTATAGTATGTCAAACAGCAAATCTGTCTAGCGTTCCACAGGGCTGATAGAACCATATCCACACCATATCTCGACGCGGTTTCTGTTCAATAAGCGAGATATATTACGAAATAATAGTAGTCCTTTCTTTTCTTTCCATCCTTCTCGTTTCTTCTGTTTCAGTTGTATTACATTCTGCAACAGATTTTCGCACACCACAAAAATGACTAAATTCGGAAATCCTTACGAAAGAAGCTTGTCGATTTGCGTTTGCACACTATTGGCTACCATATGTGAGCACGATTTAGACAAGGCTGCGCCTATGGTCGTCAAGGCAGTCACTCTTTTTGCCTAGTATCTTATGGCTGGAGGCTTAGTTTAACTCATGCTTTACGCTTTGCGGCTGACAATCTGAACGAACGTGATTTGCAATTACCCTAATATTTATTTCTAAAATAAAGCACTTGGTAGTCAGCGCCCACGTGCTTCTCTTTTAGTCTTCTGTTCTTCACTGCATGGCCTCTTCTTCGACACTTACGTTGCGCTCATAACTATTTAAGATGTTTGCTTAAAGCAAATAGGCCTAATCACCAATATTACCAATAATATTACCAATATTAATAATAATATTACCAATATTACCAACCAATAAAGCTGGAAGGTTTGTCTCGCAACTTGGAATGCAAAAAGAAAGCAATAAATTTAATCGTCTGGGTTTTCGAAGGCGCATATTGTGGCCAAATGATAAATTGCACAACGGGGTTCTTGGGTTTTACTATGAGCTTCTCAAAGCGCATGTGAGTCTTGAATAACACGCACCGCATTAAGACACGCCGTAGTTCTTAGAACGCAAATTTTTTAATGCTGCGCTTTCGTCGATCTGCAGTTACAAGGCACCATAATCTGTACTACACCAAGGCTAGCTGATCCAAAATTAGGCTCTTTTAATCTGTTTATAGCTTTTTAATTGAGGCTAAGCAGGCTTCATCTAGACTGCAGAGAATACCGCTATCATGCATGTCTTCATTCCTTCACGTGCGGCGGGCATGTTGATTGTTACGTGGTTCAAAATATTACTATAATGATTCTGTCGGTACAATGTGTGCGATTATGCCTCCTATAATTGAAATAAGTGCTCAGATATGCTAATAATTTGTTGTGCTATGAACGCAAGTCAATGTGTATACGAAGTTTGCTAAAGGAATATCCACACCTGCAACACATGTTGCAGGTCGTGGACTTCTGGTTCTTGCATCTTGCTCCAGATTTCTCACAGAAATTTGTCGCTTAGTTGTTATTTCGCAGTTCTCGTAGATAAAAAGCTTAAGTTGTTTTGAAGTCAGGACATGCATTCAATGATTGATTGATATGTGGGGTTTAACGTCCCAAAACCACCATTTGATTATGAGAGACGCCGTAGTGGAGGGCTCCGGAAATTTTGACCACCTGGGGTTCTTTAACGTGCACCCAAATCTGAGTACACGGGCCTACAACATTTCCACCTCCATCGGAAATGCAGGACATGCATTCCATGCTTGTCAGCTGCGAACTCTATTTTATTTCCATTCAAACTTCGTTAGGCACTTCGTCTGCTTAGATAAAAACCAAGCTCATTGCGCTTTGCACAGAATGAACACTGCTCTGAGTAGATTGTATCGTAGCATTCGTTCTGGGTGACCACGACAGACACAAATAGAATAAACAATTAGTGGAAATGGGTACGCAGATAAGGCGTAGAGCACTGGAGCCAATAAATACGGTGCCTGTGAAATTTCACGCAAGAAGAGAAGCTGTGTAGATATTTGAGATGGCGAAGTGTCCGGCTTGCGTGACGTGGTCGCTCATACCTGTACGCAATGCGAGGTTGACGTGTATTACCTGGTTCAAGGCTCCAAGGCAACTCACGGTCTTCGAAAGTGCCGTATGAAGCGAGTTGTTGCGGGTGAACGCAGCTAGCTTATGATTATTTAACGTGCAACGAAGCAGAACACAAAAACTAAAACGTCCGGCGTTCAACTCCCCTTCTCCGTGACATGACATGCAATGTGATGAAGGCGGAATGTGAAAAAAGCCCACGGGTGGTGAGAGCACGACGGGGATTTCAGCCGGCGTAGGGCGCGCAGCATGACGTAATATTCTGCCATATATATATATATATATATATATATATATATATATATATATATATATATATATATTATATATATATATATATATATATATATATATATATATATATATATATATATATATATATATATATATACATATATATATATAATGAGATCTAACAGACAGCAATGCCAAGGAATGTACAGGGGAAGTTATTAGAACCAATGGTATGTAAATAAGAAGAAAGAAAAGTGGATGAAAAAATAACCAGCCGTGAGCAGGAATCGAACCTACGACCTTCGAATAACGCCTTCGATGCTTAGCGTTCGATTCGAAGGTCGTAGGTTCGATTCCTGCTCATGGCTGGTTATTTTTCATCCACTTTTCTTTCTTCTTATTTACATCCCATTGGTTCTAATAACTTCCCCTCTACATTCCTTGGCATTACTGTCTGTAAATCTCATTAATATTGTGTTAAACACGGAAAAAAACGAGCCCTTAGGTATACACTTCTTTACCTTATATATATATATATAAATATATATATATATATATATATATATATATATATATATATATATATATATATATATATATATATATATATATATATATATATATATATATATGTTCTGTTCTTGCAGTCTCGATCGTACTTC